AACTGTGGCCCCCTCCTCAGGGAGCACCACCGTGTGAGTCCAGGGGAGGGACTATAGGAACCGCTTCGCACAGCCCCCAGACATTTGGTTAGAAAAGAAACTCAGGGAAGATCCGGCAAGCTGCAGGCAAGCCTCAAGTTCAGTGTCTCCCAAAGCCTGGTCCTAGTCGCCTGCATCAAATCACACGGAATGCTCGTTAAAGGTCCACCGTCCTGAGCTCCCCCAAGATGCATCAAGTTAGAATTGGGGGCAGCAAGCAAGCACCAGATCTCTTAATACCTCGCCTGACGATTCTTAGGCAAGCTAGGTTTTGAAATCTAGTTGGGATCAAATGCAGAGACTGAGAAAAGAACAAAAGACTTAAAAACATTTTAATTCTTCTCTCTCTTGTTACTCTTCTTCCTGTGAAACAGACACTTGGTGAACCAAACGAGACAAAAGCCAAGTTCCCAGTTTATATATGTCCAAGAAAATGAAGTCATGACTGTGCCGAAAACTCATGCTTTAAAATATTGGGTTGTCGGAAAAGCCATGACGTATTTTTTTCTATGTTTTTTTGTGGCAAAAATGTGTCATGACTTTTCCGACAACCCAATAAAAAACCTGCTCACCAAAGCAACAGGCCTGGACAAAAATTAACCTAAACATCCCATCTCAGACCGACCAGGTCTATTCCGAGAAGCAAGATAAGATCTTGGCTGCAGCCCCACTCTGGTCCCAGCCTTACCCAGTAATTCAGCTGTGCATTCCACCTCCAGGCTCCATGTCTGGGGGGCAGGGGTGTCCTCCCTGCTCTAGCCAAGACGGCTGGGGGGAAGGTTACTCAGGAAAAGCAGCAAGACTCACCAATCCACACGTCTCCAAGAGAAGGAAACAAATCTCAAGGTAACCAACTGTCTTGGGCACACAGCACCAGAGAGACGGTTCAGGAATTGAAGGACTAGCCCGCTGGCTGGCTAGTCCTTGTGGGAGACGCTAACACCTGCATCTACAGAGTCATGAAGGGGAGGAAGGTAGAACCGTCTCCACACTGAAAATGCCACCTTGTCCACAGAGAAGCACCCTTCCCAGGGGATGGCCGCGGGAAGCCTGGCTGGAATTTCAGAAACCAGGCTCCTCACCCCAGAAAACATGTGTGTGTGTGGGGGGGGGAGGGGTGGCAGGCAGCTATGCACATGTGAGGGTCCAGAACGGAAGCTTTACGCACCCCTCCCCAAGGACAGCTCTGGGCTCTGGGCCCAGGGCTGAGAATCCCAGTCATCCCCCCAAATCCTCCAGCAGCAGCCCCCTGCCAGATGCTGACACTTAGCATTGCACCACCAAGCCAGCCAAAGGGTGGCTCTCACACCCCACCCCCGCCCTTCCACGACTGCTACTTGGAAAGGAGTCGTGGCAAACCAGGCAGTTGGTGACTGACACCTGGACCTGGTCACCAGGAACCTAAAATACACCCTGTATTATTTTCCTCAATCAGGAAGCAGGTATTCCCCTTTGAAAGACCTTCCTGAAAGCACCTCTCCCATGGGACCCCAGCAGGTAAATAACACCAGAGCGTCCCTAAAACAATTCTAAAGGACCAGGTGTCCGGGATTCATTCACCTGCCTACTGGCTTGTCCTCCTCCGGAGGGTCTGGGAAGGAACTCCATCAGCCCTGG